GCAGTGCATATATATAGGGTCTTGCGAGAGAATGCTACATGATGATTGAGTATGGTCACTGGTGTGGCCATGAGGCGTATGCCATTTTTATCTTAAGTATTCAAGACAGAAATGTTAGATATGTTCAATGTATGGACGGTCCATTATAAAATAAAAGAGAAACAATGATGTCAAATGCTTACAGGATAAGCACGAGAGTGTCTCATTTTTAGGTAAAGCGACGTCGATGACTATTCAGTGTATATGTGTGTGTGTGTGTGTGAGAGAGAGAGAGAGAGAGAGAGAGAGAGGGAGAGAGAGAGAGGCAATTGCAGACTGAAACAGTGCATAAAAGATTTCATTATTCTCCTGTAGGGTTTCAATTGCCACGTGAATTTTCTCTCTCTACGACAATACAATTAAAGAAAAAAATCATGAACTTGGAAAGAATTTGGTGTCTGTTAAAATTATACAACTTGAGATATTTCATCATTATTGGACTATATAGAATACACAAATATATTTGAATTTGATACCGACAGAATTGTCGTAATTACAAGAATTTACTAGGGTAGGTATATTCAAATTATGATATTATTTTGCATGTCACTTGATATTGTTGACTAAATTGAATTCAATTAAGGAAATATTATTTCACAATTGATTAAATATAATTTTTAATTTTATAGATTCCGTTTTTGTATCCTGTAAGTTTAAAATATTTTGAAATGAAAAAATAACAAAAAACCCACACGAATTTATTAGAATATATTAATATTCTACAAGAATTTTTAATTTAATAAAACCCTATACCCGAATTTAAAATATGTCAAAACCTACTCCAAATCCTAGTAATTTCCAACACGGTTTAAGCGACGCTAAATGTTTTCCATTTTCGTTAAAGCGATATGACGTAAACAATATATATATTATATCATCAAAAACTTGTCACGTGGCTAAAAAATAGAAAAAAAATTAAAATTTTAAAAAAATTAAGAATAAAAATAAAAAATATGTACATGCATGCATACATATATACATACATATACATACACATAAATTGATATACACACATATATATATATATATAAACACATATACATATATATACACACACATATATACATCTATACATATAGATATACATTAATACATGTATTTATATGCATGCATGTCTGTATAGGTCTCTCTCTATATATATATGTTCTTATAACTGTAAGTATGTCTGTATGTATATATGTAAGTCTATATATATGTGTATATATTTTTATTTTTAATTTGTTTTTTTAATTATTAAATTTTACTCGTCGACACACTTTGGGAATTAGATGATACACAAGGGTGAGTACAAATTGGATATTTAAATTTTTTTTATATCCGTATCCGATCTGAATAAATATTCAATTTTGATATCCATATCCGATTCGTAATTTTCGGATATCTGCAATTTTGAATATCCATAAAAGTCACATATATTTATGAATATCTATTCGATATGAAACAAATGAAAAATAAAATTACAAAAACAAACTCAAATACATATAATATGTATAATCTATCAAATATAAACTATCGAAATTCATAATATAAATATTGATCCTAAATCAACTCAAATATAAACACAATAATAATTTACCACATTTAAAGTTCAAAATCCAAAATATTATCATCATAACTTTCATATTCAAAAGATTAAAAATCCTAAATTTTCATATATAGAAAACATATCTTGAATCTTTATCAAAAATTTGTAAAGATAAATCATTCTAAACTTCTATATCAAATGATTCATTTATTTAATAATATTAGTAAAAAATACGTATCATATAGGACATGTCAGAAAATTCGATTTTGATATTTGTATTTGATTCGTATCTAATAAATATTTTGAAATAAATATTTGTATCCAATTCATGAATTTTGGATATCTAAAATTTTGATCCAAATACAAATCAAATAACAAATCGGTTCTAGTTTTTTGGATATTATGTTCATACCTAATGATGTGTATTGTTATTTCACCTGTCACACTAATGAAAATGATAGAAATTTAAAGATTTTTAGAATTTATCTATTCAAGTTTTATTTTTTTATTTTAGTTAATAATTTTAGAATTTGGTGTAAGTATTTGAGACATTTTAAGTTCGAACGAATTTAATTTTATCAAATTAAAAACTTGTGCAAGAGATTGACATATTTCTAAATTTGCGTTGGTTTTTGTTATTCTCCTTTGAAATACATAACTATCTTCACCATTTCAATTTTTTCTACTACATACACTCAAAGATTTTATAAAAAAATCATTACAAACCCTATAATTTTTTTTTGATGGTTCAAACCCTATAATTTTATATCCATTCTACAATACTCAAAGCTATTCATAAGCATTCAAGTATTATTTATTTTTTAGTATATTTTATGTTTTCTATTTAACATACTGTTATGTATTATTGTTTTTTTGTTGTTGCAAAAAGTCACATATTGTTATCAAAATTTTAAATAAATATCATATAAATATATAAAATTTAAAATTTTCAGATAAATACAAAATTTCTTCCTAATTCCTTTATTATACCTTCAACTTCTTAAAAATAATGAAATTAAAATCTTGAACTTTTAAAAGACTTTTAAAACCGCCGTAAATTTAAATTCTAAATTTTAAATAACTTCTAAAAGTCATCATATGACATGATTGTTTTTTAAAATCATTTAAAACATTTAGTTTAATTTGCAATTTAAGAAGAGTTCATATTTTTTTTTAAAATTAATAGTTTATGTATTTATTTGTTATTTTTTTTATAAGTTTGTGTGTGATGTGAAAAAAACTGTTTTTGGGTATTGGTTGGAATATGATATAATTTTGTGTTCCAAATAAAAAATAATATTTCTGAATAAAAAATTCCCCAAGGATAATGGAGCTCAGCCACTTTTTTCCCCCAAAACACTATAATTGCATGAAAACCTGCCCCTTGTTTTTAATAATGTTTGAATCTAAGAATTTTCTTCTATAATAATCCTAAATAATCATTATTTAATCCACGACTATTGTTAATTAGCCGCAAAAAAATTAGATTTTGGTTATACTTTGATTTGATTATTTATGATATCAATTATTTAGATTTTATAAAAAAATATATCTAAATTTTTATATGAATTTTATATCAACGTTTCGATATTCTACATTGATTCAATTTTTATTTTAAAAATATTAATTTATTCAAACTTCCATTTCTTTTCGTTTCCATCTTCGATTTCTTATTTTATTAATTTAATTTGAAATTTGACACCGAGATAAATTATGTTTTTCTCGAATTATATACGCAATATATCTATTATAAAATATTCCAAATAAACCTTGTTAGTTTCATTTGTTATATTACGTCTACATAAAATAATACCACCTAACTAATTGCTGGACCGAACAATCTATTCCATTGCATCTTGAACTCTATTTCCCTCCCACGTCTCTCTTCCTCTTAGACTCGCAATAACGTTTGAGATGAATAAAAATATTATACTTAATATATATATATATATATATAGATTCAAACTTTTAAGTGAAATATATTTTATTTTGAAGAATATAAAAAAAATACAGATTTGTAAGTCAAATACAACCATTAATTAAGCCTTCCGTTTTACACTTCCACATCATTGTTTTGATTATCTCCCAACTGAAAATTCAATTGAAAGTTGCATCATTATCATTATCATTATTCATCACTAAGCTGGTGAAACTTGGTCTCTAATCATGTTATGGCTCATATGCACACACGATTGGCCCAAGTGTACGGAATAATTAAACAACATTTAACATATGTCAGCAGCGACAATAACGTCAAAATGCAACCACCATATAATAAGTAAGTAATTATCATTTAACATTTCCACAACCACAACCATAAATGTCATAATGGGCATTATATGGATATTTTGCTTTGAGGCTAACGATATTTTGTGTGACATATATTTGTTTATATATGTATCCGAGATTGATCTCTTCCCTTGTTCAAAAGCAAACGCATACATACATACATACATACATACATACATACATACATACATACATACATACATACATACATACATACATACATACATACATACATACATACATACATACATACATACATACATACATACATACATACATACATACATACATACATACATACATACATACATACATACATCACACGCACGTACGTGCATGCATATACACGTACGTGCATGCATGCATACATACACATATATATATACACACACGTACACGCAAATTAATTTGCTTTTATTCCATTTCAAAATTCAATGAATTTATTTGGTTTTTAGTTTGATTCAATAATTTAGATTCAAATTAATTTTGATAAAATTCTAACCAAATTGGACTAAATCAAATTATAAATTTGTTAAATTTCATTACATAGTTTTTTTTTTATAATTTTTTTTCCTATCCTTATTTAATTTGAATTATATACAGAATCTGGACAACATATTATTAATATACTGTTAGTAAATTGCAGAAATTCCGTGCAATTTTGTCGTTTTGTGAACCTCGTGTGGTAAAATTAATAACGCATACCTCATAAAAGCACGACGCTAACCGCCATTCATAGCAAAAAGCCCATCACCTTTACAACTTTGAATATACCATCCGAGAAAAAATAAATCCAATGGTATATGGAATTTAAAGTTAATTTCGAGTTTGTTTTTATCTTCTAGAATATTTGAAAACAAGTATGAATTCTCTCGACGATTTTTGAAAAACCTTTGAGTTTTACATCTTTTTAAAATCTTATAAACTCTTACCTCTAATTTAATTTTTTATAATCGGGTATCTTTACTCGAAATTCAGATGAATTCCAGGATTGGGAGTAAGACAAATGATTTGAATTACGTTTTTCTCCCCAACTTGAGACTCGAATTCGGGATGAGACAAACGTTTTGCATCCCAATTACACCGGTTGAACTAACCAAATTGAATATATATATATATTTTTGACACACAAAAATATTATTTATATTTTTTTTAATTCCTTTTTTTGTCACTTTCCTTACTCATATAAAATAACTCAGATTTTCAAATCTTTTACAACAAATATTGAAATCTATGTAAGAGAATATTTTAGGCTATTATAAACAACAACTATTAAAAATATTTCAAAATATATTCATGCTTTATATTAGAACCTTTTAAGATATATTCATTACAATAATTCTGATGCATGTGAATCAGAACGATAGAATAGGAATGTAGCAGTGCATATATATACTTTGCTGCAGCATGCATCTGCAGACTAAACTGTCTATTTCTAAAGTAGTTGAACTATATGTGCATCCATCACTTCCATTTAGCGAACACTTAGATATTCAAATTGTATTTTTTTTAATACCAAAAAGAGAAAATAAATAAAAAGCATCCTGCAAATAAATTTCCCTTTCAAAAGCATCCACTTGGGGTTCTTTTTTCCCCATTGTGAACTAACTCTCTCTCTCTCTCTCTCTCTCTCTCTCTCTCTCTCTCTTTCATAGCATATAGACTCATTCGGAGCACATTGCCTGTGCTGTCCTTCTCAACTCTCTGCTCGTCCTTTGCTTCAGCAAATGTACTCTCTCTCTCTCTCTCTCTCTCTCTCTCTCTCTCTCTTATCATACAAACATATGCATGCAAATGCAGATTCTCTTCAACTAAAACTGTGTTATACATGGCTAACTAATCACCACATCTCTCTCTCTTTTTTTTTTCTTTCTAATTATAATTTTTGCAGGGATTGCTTTCACATTTTGTGGAACACGGCTTTCTCGCCTCTATAGGCAACTCCAGATTTTATTGTTTTCTTTGCTTTTTCTTTTTTCCTTCTCGTTTCGGTTTTGAGGAAGAGCAGAATATGTAAGTCTCATTCTCAAATGTGTTTTTAGGGTTTAACTATCCATTGGTTCAACCTCAAAAAAGACATGGCCAACACCAATGACCTTGTGTTTTGGCCTTACAATGACCATTCCTCGCGAATACTGCCAGCCTTTATCCCCTCCCCTTCCTTTCACGGCATCTTGAGTAATCCGAACCCGAAACCAATATCCGAAGCCATTCCTCAATTTGAATTCGACCCAGAAAGCCTTTACGCCGTGTTCCTCCAACCGAACAATGAAAACGATAACCGAAATCCTTATCACCATTATCAAACATCTCTAAATCTCCTTCCCTTGAACAAGACGGTGGAAGACCAAAGCTTTGACGCCTCAGAGACCAACGTTCGCATGGAAGATTCCAAGGAAATCTCGAATCATCGAGTCCCAACTCAAGCCTCTAAGAAAAGAGCAAGCAAAACGGATAGGCATAGCAAAATCTACACGGCGAAAGGGCTTAGGGACCGAAGGATGAGACTGTCGCTTGAGGTGGCTAGAGAGTTCTTCGGCTTACAAGACATGCTCGGATTCGACAAAGCAAGCAAGACAGTCAGCTGGTTGCTCACACAAGCCAAGCCCGAGATCAAGAAGCTCGCAAGAAGCCCCCCACAGCAATTTAACAATGGTTTGAGCAGCGAGGAATCGCAAACGCGTAAGCAAATACATACCCTTTGCACTTAGACCTAAAAAGTTTCGATCTTTGTCGCTCTAAACTTATGTCTATAACTATTGAAGGACGGCCTGATCTCGACGAGGTTGCATCTGGCTGGATCGGCCAGGAAGGAAGCAACATGAACAAGGGTACGCACTAAGGCTTACGCTTTTGTCGTTTTAGCATATTATAAAGTTTCAATCTTTATAACTACAAGCTTATTATAATTTTGCGTCGATTTAAGACATGCCCACAAATCTATGCGAAGTTGCATCAGCAGCAACGAAAGAGATGGAGGAAAAGTCGGCCAAAGATAAGAAGAAGAGATCACAATCGAGAAACCCTATCTTAAGGAAGATCCCAAAGGACGCTAGAGTGAAGGCGAGGGAGCGAGCTAAGGAGAGAACGAAAGAGAAGTTAATGATGAAGGAAAGATCAGCATCAGAAGCTGTGGTTCATCATATGAAGACCAGCGACGTGAACGACCACTTGGGCACGAACTCGAACTGGAGTTCTTTCGAAACCGGAGAGGATTCTGTCCAAGGGATGGAAGAACCGAGCCCTAGCAATGGATTCGTTGCTTGTAATAACACGGGGATGAGTGACGTGGCACAAGAGTCTATGACTATAATCAACAAATGGAGCCCTTTCTCGATCTTTAATTAATTACCATCAAAACCACCGATCACCTGCTTCCATGGAGGTACGTTCTTGAATCATATATCATATGACAACACAAGATTCTTAAATTTAATTTTTTTTTATAGATTTTAATTTAAATGAGTCGTCAAACTTGTCACTACACAAATTAATAAAAAGATAGTTCATATCCCAGATTAAAACCCGTATTACAGGAATTCTTCTAGTTTAATTTTTTGTCGGATTCTAGTAACTAAAACAAAATTATGTATAGGAGAGTTCTATGTCACCGGTTCCTTTCAACTTATAATTATGTTAAATGATGTATGCAGCGATTCTAAATATGCTTCAATTGTGCATAAATGATACATTAATAACCTTTGCAGTAGAAGGTAAATGCAAAAGGTTTTCGGTGTTTTCATTGATACCAAACGAGCGAAATATATACAGGAGAAAGAATATTGTTGTTGCTAGATATAAGGAAACTAACAGATAAAAGTATATCAGGTTGTTTAGATAACAATCTCTATTACTCCCCCTCAAGATGGGAATAAAGAGAATGAGTTCCCATCTTGGACAAGAGATGTCTGAAATGATCCGCAGTTACCGCCTTTGTAAGAAAATCAGCAAGCTGGTCACGCGAGGAAACATGCAGCGGCTTGAGAAAACCATCCTTGATTTTGTCTCGGACGAAATGACAATCGAGCTCAATATGTTTCGTGCGTTCGTGATAAACTGGGTTATTAGCAATATGGACTGCAGATTGATTATCGCAGAAAAGCGAAATCGGTTGAGGACAATGAATATTCAGATCTTTCAGCAAAGCGGCAATCCAAACAAGTTCACAAGAAGTCTGCGCCATGGCTCTATATTCGGATTCTGCTGAACTACGGGAAATTGTACGTTGTTTCTTAGACTTCCAAGAAATCAGCGAACCACCCAAGAAAACGCAGAAACCGGTGACCGAACGTCGCGAGTCGGGACAAGCCGCCCAATCGGCATCAGTATAAGCGCTGAGACGAAGATCTGAATTAGCCGGGTAAAGCAGTCCTTGACCAGGTGAACCTTTGAGGTACCTCAAAACACGATAAGCGGCCTGTAAATGATCAGACCGAGGCTTGGACATGTACTGCGAAAGTTTGGTAACAGCGTATCCGATGTCTGGGCGAGTTATGGACAGATAGATGAGCTTCCCAAGAAGAGCTCTGTAGTGAGTCGGATCAGAAATGATATCCCCAGAGTCTTGGCCAAGTTTCAGACCGAATTCCATGGGAGTAGAGAGAGGCTTGCAACCGAGCATGCCAAAGTCTTCCAAGAGCTCGAGGGTGTACTTGCGCTGGCAAATCGATATTCCAAGTTTAGATCGGGCAATTTCTAAACCGAGGAAATAACGCATATCCCCAAGATCTTTCAAAAGAAATTGCGACTGCAGACACTGCTTCAAGGCGTGAATCAGACCAGCATCATTGCCAGTAATCAAAATGTCGTCGACATAAATCAAAACCGCAACAAAAGATGAGCCCTGCGTCTTAGTAAAAAGAGAATGATCATTCTGGGACTGAACATAACTCGCAGAAAGAAGAACCTGTGAAATCTTGATGTTCCATTGGCGCGATGCTTGTTTAAGTCCATAAAGGGACTTGTGAAGACGACAAACCGATCCTGCCGGAAAAGACTCCCCCTTAAGATCAGCAAACCCAGGAGGAAGAGACATATAAATCTCCTCAGATAAATCGCCATTGAGAAAAGCATTCGATACATCCATCTGCTGAATCAACCAACCTTTCGCAGCAGCCAAGGCCAACAATGTGCGTACCGTGGTCATCTTGGCGACGGGACTGAATGTCTCCAAAAAATCAATGCCTTCGATTTGTGTAAACCCCTTTGCCACTAGTCGAGCTTTATGCCGTTCAACAGAACCATCGGGGTTGAATTTTGTCTTAAACACCCATTTACATCCAATGGGGCGCTTCCCTGCAGGCAAAGAACAAACAGACCAAGTCTTTGTACGAGAGAGAGCATCCAGCTCCGAGAGCATGGCATCTCTCCACTGAGAAAATTTCGCGGCCTTTGTATAAGAGGTAGGTTCAGGGAGGACAGAGGTAGATAAAACAAAGGATTTATAAGAAGGGCTAAGGTTATCATAGGTAAGGCATGAAGATAGAGGGTAAATCGATGAAGGTGAATCAGCCAGGGGTTTGTTGTGGGTAATCATGTAACAGTGATAGTCGGATAAATAACCTGGAGGTCTGGTAAGTCTGTTGGGACGAGCAGATGTCTCTGAAACAGGAGATATCAGATCCGAAGAAGCAGAAGAAATAGACAGAGGAGACGCAGAGCAAGAAAGACCCGATGAATCTGAAGTCGAAGGAACAGACACAGAAGAGGAAGGAGCAGAAAATTGAGAACTGGGAATGAAAGAATCAGGAAACGAATCGTACAAATAAAAGGGAGATGGAGAAACTGGAAAAAGGTTCAAGACAGGAGATGGCAGAGGTGATGTCTTGAAAGGGAAAGTGGTCTCGTGAAAAACAATGTTACGAGATACAGACACGACATTATTTTCTAAATCAAGAACTTTATAGCCTTTGGTACCACTAGGATAACCAATAAAAACACAAGGGCGAGCCCGAGGAGAAAATTTATGACGATCTTTTAAATAAGTTGAAACATAACATAAACATCCGAAAACTCTGAGTTGCTCATAATCGGGTTTAGTGTGAGTAAGAACTTCAAAGGGAGTTTTATTTTGAAGAACAGCCGTAGGAGTTCGATTGATTAAAAAAACGGCAGCAAGGACACATTCTCCCCAGAAAGGTAAAGGAATATTTGATTGAAAAAGAAGAGATCGAGCAACATTTAAAATGTGTTGATGTTTACGTTCGACAACCGAGTTTTCTGCGGTGTGTAAGGACACGAAAAATAATGAAAAATCCCATGTTGCAGCAAAAGATCGGTAAAAGCAAGTTCCGGGGCATTGTCCGTCCGAATAGACTTAATACGAGAAGAGAATTGCGTTTCAATAAAAGTGATAAACTGTGGAAATTTAATTGAAACGTCACTCTTATTACGAAGAAGATACACCCATGTAACTCGTGTACAATCGTCAACAATGGTAAGGAAAAACCGATGTCCATCCACAGTAGAAGTATGGAAAGGACCCCAAATGTCGAGATGCAACAAATCAAATGGGCGTTGTGACAAACGAGCAGATTGAGGAAATGAAAGAGCTTTCTGCTTAGCCAAAGGACAAATCGGACAATGCAGATTATTTGCTGGAGAAAAACGAAGCTGGTTGGAACTTGCAAGACCATGAATCTTTATGTTGGAAGGGTGACCAAGACGAAGATGCCATATGTCTATGCTTGCTGAAGAAAGTGCCGTGCATAAACGAGAAGGAAACGAATGAGCAGAAACAGGGGCTGTTTCAAGGAGATAAAGATCATGACAACGTCTACCCGTGCCAATCGTCAATCCCCGAGAAAGGTCCTGAATCACAAATGAGTCACAGGAAAAAATAACAGAAATAGAATTGCGTTTGGTTAGTGAACTCACGCTCAGTAAATTAAAATGAAAGCTGGGAATAAACAAAACCGAAGAAAGAGACAGAGAAGAAGAAATGACAACTGTGCCAGATTGCAAGACAGGAATTAGAGATCCATCTGGCAAAGTGACTGAAATCGGAGGAATATCTTGTAATTCAGAGAACATAGCTTGCTCACAACAGACATGGTTGCTGGCACCTGTATCTAGAATCCAGGTAGCCGAAGAAAAAGAAATATTTGGTGCAGAGCTGGAAAAAACAGGGCTAAAAAAAATTGTACCTGATGGATCGGGTTGGGAGGCCGCGACATTAGACTCAGCAAGAGAGCTGCTCAGCCCTTTGAGCTGGGAACTGAACTCTGTAATCAAGGACCGGGCTTGTTCCAATGCAGATAAATTGTCGGAACCACCTACAACAGGGGTCGAAGCAGTGCCAACAGAAACAGGGATCTCTGTACCGATCATATTGATATGAGGTAATGCAGCCTCAGGAGGGAAATTGCGAGATTGGGCAGAGAGTTTGCCACGGGAAGACCACGAGCCAGAAGGACCAGATTTATAACCTTGCGGATATCCATAAATTTTGAAGCATTTACTGACCGTATGTCCGACCATGCCGCAATGAGTACAGTGAGGCCGAGGACGAGCAGAGGATGGAGCCCGAGACTGAGAGGACACAGTGGAATTCCGTATGCGAGAATTCGAGGACTGAAGCTGAAATGCAACAGAATCGGTGGGAGCCGGATGCTGAATCTGTTGATGTTCTTCTTGAGAAATCAAGTTGTAAGCTTTAGTGATGTCCGGTAATGGATCCATCATTAAGATCTGACGGCGAGCGGGTGTGAAAGAATCATTGAGACGCATCAGAAAACGGACGACATTGCGTCTATCCAACAGATCCTGCCATTTGCGAGCCATGCCGCAAGAACAACCACCACACGTACACAGAGGTAACGGCTCATGATTCTTGAGCTCCTCCCATAAAGACGTCAGTTTAGTAAAATATGCATTCAAATCAAACGAACCTTGGTGTAGGCTGTCAATCTTCTGTTGGATATGATAGATCTTCGAGATATTGGTTTGCTTGAATCGATTTTCCAAATTCAACCAAACTGCCCGAGCATTGTCGAGGTAAACGATGAGACTGGCAATGTCCGGGGATACGGCGTTGTTGATCCAAGTACAGACAAGATCGTCACAACGTGACCAAAGACCTGAATCAATATGAGTGGAAGAAGGCTGGGGAATAGACCCATCAACAAAACCAAGTTTATTCTTGGCATTAAGAGCTTTCGACATGGATCGGGACCAAACATTATAATTTGATTCGCCAATCAATTTCTCAGAAATGAGAGAAATACTGGATGTATCCGCTGCATGTAAGAACAACGGATTGGAATATGGATCAAGGGAATTTGATCGAACAGGAGATAAAGAAGAGGCCTGAGGATCTGTATGATCAGAACCAACGTCATCAGATGTAGATGACATGGTGGGAAAATAAAATTAAGGAAAAAATAAGCGGAGGGTATTAAATCTCTGATACCATAATAACCTTTGCAGTAGAAGGTAAATGCAAAAGGTTTTCGGTGTTTTCATTGATACCAAACGAGCGAAATATATACAGGAGAAAGAATATTGTTGTTGCTAGATATAAGGAAACTAACAGATAAAAGTATATCAGGTTGTTTAGATAACAATCTCTATTATACATAAATATTAATTTGTTGTCACTTCGCATGGTTGCAAATGTTTTATAACCAACACATTATGCATTTATTTTAATATGGTGAAAGGAACAAGTGCAACGTTTGTAGTGAATAAAACACACATACACACATATGCATGTGCATGTTTATGTATACCCAAATATACATAGCTTATAGGCCACGTGATCTTTTCTTGCAAACATGTGTATATGTAATGTATATATATGTTTGTATATATTATATATATGACCGAACATGATGTGTTTGTGTTGCACTTTGTTGAGTGCGGCCATGGTGTGCTCGGTGTGTTTTTATTTTTATATATCATTTTTTTTATGGCTAATAGTTATACACTTAACATCTCACCAAACGACCAAAAAATAAATAGGAATTAATTAAGTCTTCGTTCGATGATTAATGTTTGATTTTATGATCGTATCTGGCAGTGTCAGTTTACGGATCTTCATCAATTCTCGGGGAAGCCAAGGAATGCCTTCTACAACTCACGAATCATGTGTTGAGGTCGATTAGCTTATGATATATCTCAAATTAATATTTGGGGTCGATCCATATATAATTATGAAGTATTCTTGCCTTGGATTAGGGATATCATCATCATCATCATTATTATTATTATTATTATTATTATTATTACTATTACTATTATTATTATTATTATTATTATTATTATTATTTTTCTTCGTTGAAATTGCCTTTTTCTTATTTTCATCATATATTATTGTTTCTGTTCACTCTCACTGTAACTTCTTTCTATATAATTACACTCTCACTATAATTTCCTTTCTCGTCATATGGTTTCTTTTCACCGAACTTTCATGTAAATATTACGTGAAATTTCGGTACAAAAACTACCTTATATACTCATCCCATGCATATAATATAGACCTAGCTATCGATATATTTAATTTTATGTAAATATTACGTGTATATAACCGTTTGTTAATGCAGTTTATTTAATTTTCAATATTCTGAATGCACTAGTTAAACTGAATGGATAGATTTTTCCTCGTAATGTCACTTAAATCAAGCTTATTCTATTGGGGTGTATATCGATATATATATTTGGATATATCTAGTTTTCTTATTTTGATGGATTTGGTGGAGATTTGTTCCTCGTATCTCTAGGGTTTGTTAACATTCTCTGTACAAATATTCGACCAGTTCGACATAATGCAACACACACAATTCTTTTCCACACGTCGGCTCTTTTATATGTTCCATGAGCATTTGATTTTTGTTTCTTTTTTCTATTATAGGAATTATGAGAATCACTCCATGAATAAAAACTTTTCTTCGATGGAGTTTTAATTAACGTTTATATATATAGAAAAATTAATTTGGGACTAATGCAATGTTGATGTTGATGATATATAGAAAAATTATAATATAGACCTATCAATATATTTTATCGAGAACATAAAAGTAAACTCATAATATGAATCCCTATCGATATGTACGAATCTCTAGAAATTGGGAAGTATTCTTGATCAAAACGTATGATTTTTTGTGGTATTTTAGACAAATGAAAATCTTGAAATTCATCGTTCCGTCTATGTATGACAATAAATCATATTTTTATTGGAAAATAAAATATAGAAACTAAAAAGAAATAAAAGTAGAGAAAAATAGAACAAGAACAATTTTATTACTACATCTTTTTTTTAATTATTACATTAAAATAAAAATAAAATACATATTTATAAGAAAATTAAGAAACGAAGTAAAAAAGAAATATAGATACAATGGAAACAAATCAGATACATAATATTTGACATAATAATATTGTATTCATTATTATTCTCAATCATATCTCAAAGTCTTATTTTGCTCCTGTCACATTCATTTTTCTATTTTAACAATTAAAAAAATAGATTTTTTATACTTTCTAAAATATCCATAAAATAATAGAAAATTAAATCTTTTGTTATCTACATATCCATCCTGAATTTTTTAGAAATTATTATTTAGAATCATTCACTAAATAATCACGTTTAATGCCTAAATAATAATAATAATAGTTAGAATCCAGTGGAAAATCCATGAGTCAATATATCGAGAGGTTGAGAATACGACTTCTTGTATGCTCATCTGTGGTTCGTTAGATATGACTAATTTTTTTTGTTAACGATAAATCTTATATACATAAATAATGTTACAATAGAGATTACCAAAGGTAATACATATATTAAAATTCATCATAATCAACAAAAAAAGTAAAACAAAGAAGACTGAAATTTAAATAATAAGTCATGGTGCATAAAGTGAGAAGTAGATGCAATATGCAATATGTCTTGTAAATGACCTATGTTGGATGGTAAGAATCACTAAATTCTACCTTTTCCCTTTCAAACTTTTCCGATGAGTGTAAAATCTGTAGAATCCAATGAGATATTGACATCACGAGAACGTAGAACACGCTGAACTCCTTGAACTGTGACAACAGTGGAAGAACGAGCTTGTACGACTAATTTACCTTTTACGTATATCACGAATTCGTTCACATCGATAGAGATTTATCTAATCAGTATATACGACATGTAAAAGTTAGGTTATCCGCCATATAAAAAAAATAAAATCCAAAATATTAGAAAATCAAGATTTTGTATATTTATTTATTTATATTGTACGTTTGAACTTTAGAGACGTGACTGAATTGGACATACGCACATGTGTCGTGATCCATCGAGTGGGTCCAAAGTCTTGCTTCCTCACTTATATGTTAAGAATATGTTTGTCCATTTCTATTCTTTGATGTTATTCTCATGAACCTGGATTGAACCCACACTGTCACATTGACCTATAATTAATTTGGTTAGATAAATTTATTTTCTTATATTAAAAACATCTAACTTCAAAATTAGGAATTGACAAAATTAAATAAAAAAACCCATCACATAATTGGATATCTAAATAATCAGAGTTCAAATTCGAATAATATATATATAGCAGTCGTGGTTTAGTTTCGAATTTGAACATGTATTTTGACATTCGAATACCTGTAACTATTGCCAAATACTATATTTTTATATTTATTCACATTTATACCACTAAAATTTATATAAGTTATTTTTTATTTTGGTCTCAAAAAAATATCCGATAAATAAAATAGATTCGCTTATCCATAATTTTCAGATTCTAATTGTTATATAGATTTTTTTATCCATTTAAATTCGGAATTAAATTTATTGTTCTAAATTTTTTTAAAAATTCTACCACGGCGACCTCTGTTAGCTACTATAAGAATTATTCCTAGAATTTATATAAAAAATGTTATCCAATAATTTTTGTGTGAAATTTAATATTGAGAATTATGGAGAATTAATTTTTATAGAGTATTTTATCATATTTTTTATTTGATTTGAATTTATCTATTATTTATGTTATTGGGATAGAAATAAATTTTTTTATTGGAAATAAATTACATTATCTATTTAAATTCTGTTGATAACCAATAATATATAACATATTATTTATGACATCTTGATTTATGATAAGGATGGTAAGTGATTGTCGATGCAAGCGAAAGGGACAAGAAGTGGTTCTCCAAAAACCACTAGATCAGAAGGATACGGGGATAAATCGAACATACCAAGGGTTGTGCAGGTATATGACTACACAACCAATGATAGTTTAAAATAATTGATTGAGCTACTCATACCAACAAGATGTATCTACCTTTTCGATTGTCTATTTGGAATAACTCCAAAGTTAATCGTGTTTGTGCTAGAGCAATCAAATGATGGGTGATTTAATGGGAAGCGGTTATCGATATATGTGCAAGTGAGAATAAACCACACTTAAAGGTCTCATACTGGTATGTAAATGTAGTTTCAACGTTCGTAACGGTTGCGAGGCGATACAAATGGTATCCGAGACGATACTCTTCCAGTACAGCGTGGTTCGAGGACGAATCAGATGAAAGCTGGTGGGCCTGTACATCCCGAGTTATGATGAGGGTGGAAAGTGATCGTCGTAACAAGCGGTACGGACAAGCAGTGTCTCCCTGAAGTCCATTAGACCAGAGAGATATATATGAGGATGAATCGAATACACCGAATGAGAGAGATCCGAAGATTGTGTAGGTATGAGGCTACACAATCAATGATACCTTAAAAGAATTGATTGAGTTACTTATACCAACAAGATGCGTCTATCTTTTTGGTTGTCTATCTTAAGAGAACTCCAAAATTAAATATGATCGCGATAGGACAATCTAAGGATGAGTGATCTAGTGGAAAATATTTTTCGTTATGCATGCGAGTGAGGACAAACCACGTGAAAAAGTCTCATGTTGATATGTGAGGATCGTTCAACGTTTGTAACGTTCGTGAAACATTACATTATTCGACAAACTTTGATATAGAAACAAAGTCTGGTTACATTAATTGAAATGGGTTCTATTATCTTTCACAGAAGATGATGGTTGTAGACAAGTGAGTGTAACTTAAAGAATTTTTAGGTGATAAGATTTATAATATTGAGGTGCAAGCACAAACCTCATTCTATAACTAATCAAAAATATTCAAGAAGCCTATATGATGTGTCATTCTGCAGAAGAAAAAATTTATAACTTTTCATAGGAGATCAGATCAAATGATTATGTGAGATTTCTTCAAAAAATTGGATATTGTTGCAAGAAAAAGAAAAATATGTTAATTCTTTAAAGCAGAAAAAACTAAGTCATAGTCTTTGAATTTGTTTGTATATTGCAATGTGTATTGAGGAATCGAATTGTATTCCTTGGTGGAAAATCTGAGTAAAACAAATTCAAATCTAGTGAGATTGATTTAGGACTAAAACCCTATCGAGATATAGATTGACTCACATTGAGTGATCTGAATTCGTATATCTAGGTGCAAGTGTGTGTTGGTGTTGTTTTTGTGTACAAGAACATAAATCATCCACAAATACTCAAAATCAATTCTAATCAAACCCTAAATACATACACTCTGTGACAAGAACCAATTTCCTAGAATTCTAAAGAACAAAGAAATAAGAATTAGGGTTTAGTTGCGGATATTTTTGTTAATGTAATTCTTTTTTGGCTGCGTTTTCTTTCAAATCTGTACAAATTGGTTACAATCGGAGTCATCGTCGTTAGTAGAACAGCAACCCGAGCCCCGTCGCTTTTGGTGGTATTTGATAATCGAAGTCGAACTTGTAATTACGTTTATATCTCCGATGACCATTGCTGGTGGTATTGTGTGCTTAGTTCGAAAAGATGCGTCTGGGGCGCGCCTAGGCGCTGGAGGCGCAGATGTGCAAGGGGATTCGCATCTTCATGTATAGGCGATGCGAGATACAGGATGCAACGAGAGGTGCACCTCCGACATGTAATTTTGCACTTTTTCAAAAGAAAGTGGAGAAGATGAACAGTGCAGACCGTAACATACATTTAATTCATGTTAAATGCTAATGTAAAGTCAAACACAAAGTATTATTTTTGTATGGATAATAGGTGAAAAAAGATTTAAAAAATATATATGTATTAATTATAATTTTGAAGTATATAAGTTTATTTAAGTCATACTAATTAAAATATGTGTTATATTATTAATGTATTTCAATTTAATTCATTTTGATTAAATTTTAGTTTTCATTTTAATTAATAATATATATATATAGAATGTTATGTAAATAAAT